TATATATAGCCCTTAATAGGATCCAGACTGTTACTGGGTGGGCAGTACCCAAGCTAAACCCTAAATCCTTAAGGTTTAAGGCGCTGTGTGCCTGCATGTTGTGCACAGCAGTCTACCACCGATTCGATTGCAAAAGGCTTAAGGCGTAGGGCCCCACCTAAACCCTTATACCCCCGTACAACCCCCTTATGATTTCGAAATTGTCCCCATCTAACCCCCATAACTCCAATGAAATCCCCATATAGCGCGCATACAATCCCTATAGCTTCCATTTTCTTTTCCATCATCCCAATTTAGCCCTTAAACCCTAAACCTATCTAAATCCTTTCATGACTTTGGGGTGTTTGGCTAAAACCCCTAAACCCTGAACCCCTAAACCCTAAACCAGTGTGGATTCAGAGCTTTAGGCCTGAGACAGGGAGGTTCGACATTAAGCAAAGGTCCCTACGATTCTTATGCGGGGTTTAGAGTTTAGGGCTTACGGTTCAAAATCTAGCAGTAGGGGTCACTTCGTGGGAGTCTGTATAACAAGGGTTATGGTCTTTGGGGGGTATTAGGAGGTTCCTTATTTTTAAAGTACCCAGAAGTTTCAAGCCTTTTGCTTTCTCTCGAGGTTTACCAGTGCTAATTACAGGCACTGGGAGCCTGTAAAACTCCAATGGTCCAGGGGTTTCAAGGCTCCCCTTAAAGGACCCGAAGGTGGACACGCGTTTTCTGGCATTTCACACAGAGTTCGCCAGGGTTCCCGGGCGCAGTCTGTAAGCCATACATTCCCGAAACTAACATGGACCTCCATATGTTTTGTTCAAGGCCTGTAGTTATCATAGGGCCCTTTTGGGAGTTGCATGTTTTCCCATTTGTGTTATTCCGTTCGGCCGAAGGTCTCACTCCATTCCAAACGACTTTTACCCAACAATAGATATCAATAGAACCAACGAGGAACGTCAGATACCAAATTTGCCAATTACCAGACCACCAAAAAAGGTTCATGGAACAGCAGAGCAATCTTTAACAGAATGGGCCTACCAGATGGGCCCTGATTGCAAAACTCTAAGTTCTTCCCGGACAAGCCAAGGAGAGCCCATGGAAAAACGACTGGGAGAGGTTTGCTGGCTTTATCGAAGCTTGGCTGCTTTGGAAATTGCTTTGGAATTGGCTGGGGCCAATTCTGGACGGTTTCTAGGTTCTTATCTACACAGCACTGGTCATCTTCTTGCTGGAAGGGTCCTTTCGCTTCATTTCCGCCACTTGCCCTACCACCACTGCCACTGTTCTGCTTTCCATGATGACCGGAGTCTGCATGGCATTTTCCTGCACAGCCCGGAGCAATCTGGAAACAAACTTTTTCTGCAGGGTGTAATGGTGTGTAAGTAGAAGTTCTGGGCTCTGAACATTATCTGTAGAATTCCCTTAACATATGTTTTAATGGACCCCTGGTCTCTTCTAGCAAGTACAGTCCAAGTCTTTTGTATGGGGTTGTGCGGGGCTACCGTTGATGGAGGGCATCTTGCACCGCCTCATTTTCTTAAGTCCACAAACTATGGAAATCTAAGCCCTAAACCGTAAATCTTAAACTCATGGAATGGGACTGAGGGTGGTGCAGGTCTTCCTCCATCAGCGGCATCGGGCATCTGTGCCGAATGCCCCCCTTGCGATACTGGGTTGCTGTTAAGGAACTTACACTAAGTTACCATAATGGGTATAGATGGTAGGGGATTCCCCAACAGCGTAACTTAAGCTCAGTTCCTGAACAGCAACCCTGGATAGATAATTACCCTTGCCAGTGTGTTGAGCCCAGATCCTGGTCTCCTATTTGGGTAGTTCCCAAAATTAGGGTCCCATTGTGGTATTCCTAAATATTTGGTGCCGTAATCTAATCCATAACCAAAGGGTCCCGGTAATTTGGGGAGCTACCCAGTTAGAGGATCATGGAACTTTATCACCACTTAGCCTGGGTTCAGACCCTACATTTATTTGGTCCAACAGGTATGGCCTAAACCCTGCAACTTCCCCGAAGCCCTAAACCACGAATTATGGCCATTTGGATCTCCATGGAGTCCCTCAACCCCTACCTAAACCCCAAAAGTATCTGAAATAATTGCCCAGAAACCCATGATAACAGCCATAAAGGCCATTATTTTACATACTTTTGGTGTCCACCTAAACCCAAGCCCCAAAATCCTAAATCCGGAATCCCGAAATCCTGAACCCGAAGTCTACACCCTAATTTCTAAATCCTGCAATCCTTGCTGCTCCATGCGCATACCTAAGCCCTAAACCCTGCACCGCGCAGACCTTTCGGGGAGAGGCAGGCTACGACAGCGGAGGAGTAGGTCGTGAGTCCCTCGGCGAGACTTGGACGCGACCTGGAGATCCACTTGGGTGGTTTGATGCATCAGGTTTGTCCGAAATTCCTACAAGTCTGTACAGGGACCCTCCTTAATATGATCCAGGCTTTCTACCCTCGCACACCCCTCATGGTGTGGTTCCCCCCTCCCCCTGTTCTGGTGATGTGGTACTGGTGGTTCTCCCGTCCTCGTGCTTCTTGTGGAGTTGGTGATTCTCCCCCACTTGTGGTCCCCATGGTTCTGATGGTCTACTAGGGGGGTAGGTGTAGCGTAAATGATCCTGCCTCATACCCCATACTTCTTCTAATGCTGTTACCCTTCTAATTATGTTGGCCGCAAGTTTATTTGGAGGTTCTTGGGATGTAGTGCCAGCTTGCAATACAGCCAAGTTTAGCTACAGCCCCAGGTGCAAACGACACAAAGGTCTAAGAGTGACGACTTGCAAGGATCGCAACCCGGGAAAACCAAATCCACAGGAAGGTCCTGAAGTGATGACAGTTAGTTACAAGGATCGCGATGCCAGGGGACCCCATCCCTGCAACGGTTGGCACTTTTGAGACGCGACGAAAGCACGAGGAGCTAAAGGTGATGGCGCCGGGACGTCAACGACAACAGGTGCGAGAATAGCGACCTTCCGCCCCTGTGACTGTTGACACTTCTGAGAGGTTTGGGCTGGGGAGGGGTTTGACCATGCGGGGGGGGGGTGGGGAACACCCTTTAGATAGCGGTATATGGTCCCTATTCAGGGTACATACAGGGTACTAAGAGGGTCTAGGTAGCTTCTTCATGATAGTAGTCAACTAGGATCTCCAGGTCGGGCTTCAGGTTTGGATTTGGCATTTCAGGTCTATGGCTTGATGGGGTCCGGCTAGACGGTCACAACTTCAACCCCAGATTGATTGGGTTTGGGCTCTAGGGTTTACTGTTGAGGCCCTAAACCCCAAACCCCTAAACCTCTAAACCCCTAAACCCTAAACCCTGAACCCCTAAACCCTGAACCCCTAAACCCTGAACACCTAAACCCCAAACCCTGAACCC